AAATACCAATAATATTTTTTATATAATTTTAATCAAATTGAAAATAATTATTTCATGTTATAGATTAAAAAATTGTTCTCCTTTTAGAAAAATAATGTGTGTAAATGTTCCGACCGTAAAATTATGTTGGTTTTATATGCAGTTAAAATAACTGAACTGAGAAGAAATTTTCGGACTGTGAATTAAAAAGAACTGTTAATAATATCGGTTACAATTATTAGATACAATTTCATTGTTCTCTGCATAATCGAGAGCTGAACAGTATAATATTTCCGACTGGTAAGAACATAACGAATTTTAAAATGTGTTAATGAAATTGCAGTGAAACTTTAAAAATTCAGATAAATATATTTTCTTCCAATGCAAAATTGTGCTTATTACTGTTCTTATGGTTTCAACTTAGTAATCATTTTGTGCTATTACTATACAGATAACTGCTATCTTTGTTCCTAGTATCAGAAATTTAATCTATTGTAGTTACTAACATATGGTATAATGTATTTTTTAAAAATAAAATCCAATTTACTTAAAATTATTTCTTTCTTATACTGCTGCTTGTACTTTTAATAAAAGAAAATTTGCTTCAAAGGTATTTTTTATTGCTTATAAGCTGTTCTGCATCATGTCTTTCAAATCTTTCTTTAAAATTCTTACTTATTTCGTTGCGAATTGTAAATCTCGCATTCCAGTTCTATTTATAATTGTTTAAAATGTAGTTTTGTGCTGTGTCGCATTTTATATGCGTTGTAAATTCATTCAACTTTATTTGATGTTTAAAAGTCTTCGAAATTTAATAATTTAGCTCAGTTAAGTTCTGCTACAAAAAGAAAAACAAAAAATTCAGTATCATTACCTCTATTTTTTAACAAAAGCAGTTGGTATCTTTCATATTATATATTTCCATAAATAGCATATATTGCTTTTTAAAACGTTAAACGTTAACCAGTATATATGAATAACACAGAAATTGCATGTTTATTTATATGTAATTTCTGTGCTATTCATATATACTGGTGCTCAAAAGTAATAAAATTAAGACACTTTTTCGAATTTCACCAAAACTGGAAAATACGTTATCAGATAACAATGCAATAAATAGCTGTGGTGATGGACAAGTAACCGTTCTTCTATATATGATACTGTTGCATTCTACGGACTCGTGGATTTGGAGTGATTGATGATAACACTTGATGAATAATCAAAGCACAATTTCTTCGCCAGTATAACCCAGAATAGTTCCCAAACACGTTACAGTCGTCGAAAAGCTCTGATGAACACGCTGAAAAAACCTGGCCTGCATGGTCTCCAGATCTGTCACCCATTGGAAACATCTGGCCATAGGTTACTGAGAGACTGGCCCACCACCCCACTTCAGCTAATACAGTAGATGAAGTGTGGCGTAGACCTGAAACAGAACGGATTGAGTTGCCTGTGTCTGTCATCCAAGCCCAGTTCGATTCCATGCCTAATTGGGTAAGATCCATTTTAGCTGAGGAGGATGACAGCTGTTTCTACAAATTTTGAACCCCTGTAAATACCTAAACTTAAAGCTTACAAATTTAATCATTTTGTCTTCATACCATACTATTTATGTACAATAAATATCTTTTCTGTATTTGCTTTCCTTCATGATGTTGCAATTTTAATGACCAACAGTGTATATATGAGTGCGAGTATGTGTGTATGTGTGTGCCTATCAGTTATGATAGAGCGCTCATTGCTTTTTAAGTAATTATCGAATACGAGTTCAATTATTTGAAAATCCATTTACAGGAAATTTTCTGAAATTGCAGTGACGTGTTATTAGTAAGCATTTTCGAATGACTGAAGTTTTCTTATTTTTGTAATTTGTTTTCTAGGAAAAAGCTAGGTGATTTTTTTTTCTTTCCTTTGGATTGAAACAGCAGTGATTACTCGGATTACTTTCCTTTGGATGATTAGCAATGATTCCTTCGGGAGTGTAATGCTATCTGCGTTTACACTCTGATGATTTTTTTAGCGGTTGAAAGTCAATAAGACTTTTGCTTTTATCTGAGTAGTACTTTATAGAGATCATGAAACGAAAAAATGAAAATAACATTTTTATGAAATCTATTGATAAAAATAAGAAAAGGGAAAGAAGAAATTTCGGAAAAATTTTAGATATTTTTTTATCGCAAAAGAAAAAAAGTGGCTGAAGGTTTTTTCGAAAAAATATCTGACCATTCTCTAATCTAAAGATAATTGAATTCCTGATGAATAAATAATTAGTATTGTTTGTTACAAATATAATAAACGATAGATAAATTATTTTGTTTCTGTCCTAAAATTTAAATCTGCAAAATGAAGCTATATGATTTCCGTTAGCAGCATTACAGCGGCAAATAAATTGGATGCAGTTAAAGATCAAAGTATTTAATTCGTTTTCCAATTTACTCAGCTAACCAGTTATATAGTAAAACCTCGGTTCACGAATTTAACGCGTTCTTCAAGGCCGTTGATCATCTTAAACCGAAATTATTTTCCACAAAGGAATTAATGTAAAATGAATTGATCCGTTCCTGAATCATAGGTAATAGCTTATTTAAAATTAAGACACAATAACACGCCGAATAAATACTGATTCAGAAGTCAAACAACAAAAATCAGCGTTAATTCACAAAATTTTCACAGGACTAGTTTCGATGGTTTTACCGAACCATCATCTTCAGCTGCAAAACGGCAAATGAACAAGATAGGAAATAATGTTTAGATAAGATAAGAAAGCCTGGACAAGAGTAAGCAAGTGGCGCCATCTGTTGGCGAAACCAGAACTAAAACATAATTTCTCTAAAAGCCGAAGGCAAATTTGGATTGGAATTAGGATCGTTAACTAGAACAGAAAGATTTTTATGAATGTGAAATGCCTCTAGAAAATCCACTTCTCCAATGGAAGATGTTTTTTGAATAATTTTGGCAGCAGAAAAATTGAAAGTGTGATTTTCGGACCAACAATGTTGAGCAACAGAAGACTTCTGTGTTTCCTTTTTTCTAACATATGCCTCATGTTCTTTGACGCGAAATTTTAAGGCTCTCTTAGTTTGGCCAATGTAAAATTAAACCGCACTGGCAAGGAATCCTATAAATACCCCAGGAATTCATATCCGGAATGGGGTCCTTGAGTATAGAAGTTGGAATTTTATTGATGGGAGAGTAAACAACCCGAAAGTTAAATTTCTGCAAAATATGTGCAACTTTATAGCTAATTGATGGAAAGAAGGGAATGACAACAGAATCTTTACAATCTCCTAAAACAAGAGTGTGGCTTTTAGTGTGTTGAGACGAGAATTTTTTAACCGCTTGATTAATAATGTTGGGTGAAAAGCCCCTGTCGATAGCTATTGCTTTTAAATAATTTAGTTCTTCATCAAGGGCTAGTTTGGAGGAGCAAACTTGAAGAGCACGGAAAACATAGGAATAAAATGAAGCTAACTTTTGTTTAGTCGGATTGCAGCTGAAGATGATGGTTCGGTAAAACCATCGAAACTAGTCCTGTGAAAATTTTGTGAATTAACGCTGATTTTTGTTGTTTGACTTCTGAATCAGCTTATTTAAAGTTTAGAGCAGGATCCTGTACACAAATGTATAATATAAGACTAATGGAGATCTTTAAATCTACCACAAAAAAGATAAATATAATATTAAAAAGATAAAGCTGACGAAAGCTTAACCTTACCTGTAAGAAAATGAGAGGACGCGGAAATGGATGAGAAAGAGATGTTATTTTTTGAAAGCGGGGCTATCTTCCGTAGAAACATCAAGTAACTCTCTTCTCTTAGCGCCGCTCGACTCAATGGGCGAAGTGGCGCTAAGAGACTGCTGAATTCTTTGTGTTTGACTCTGCTTCAATCTCTGGCTAACGGGCTGACCGTTTTCCGTAATTTTCCTCATGTGTAACGTAAATACCAGCAATTGTCTTACAAAGCCCTCTACGAAGGCAGGACTTTCTCTTAGAGAGATGTCTCTCGTGCGCTTTGCCATTTTCTAATAACCTAACCAAATTTTAGCGCTCTCGATTTTGCTTGATACCTAGTGAGTTTCCGTTTCACTCAAAATTTGTTCAATCTGATTTGTTATTGTTTGCGTTTTCAAATGTTCTAATCTGAGGCATGGCTTTGTTACCAAAAATACTTATGCTGTACCTTAATATTGCTTAATTATGGTGCTGCCATAAATAATTAAGCTATATTAGCACAGTGGGCTATAAGTTCCTGCAAATCAAATTCATGGTCCTCTCGGTTACTTGCTGCCTTTCTTTATTAATGAGATTTACAGTGGGAAATACGGGAAGTCCATGATTGTTAATTCCGTGTAATATACCTCAAAACACCTCTGAAGATGATTTGCTACGGAGTTTAGTGGTCGTAACTCGGGACATCGTTCATTTTACGGGACGTGTTTTGTTCGTAATGAGAGACGTTTGTAATACGAGTTTTCTATAGATAAGATATAACTGTATACCGAGATCCAGGCGCTAATTCGTTTGCTTCATAAAGTAATTTGTATTTAAATTTTTCTATTTTGGATTTTAAAATTCCTTATTGTTCTGTTCCCTTTTGGAGATGTAATTTTCTTTTGTGATTGTGCATTGAATAGATAAAATGTATGTTTATTTCATATTTGCTAGTAAGAACGTCCGTAGCGGAATAAACCATCCTCTAGAGACAAATTTCACGAAAAGCGTTTTAGTCGTTCGTTAGTCAATGTCTCTTAATACCTAGACTTATTACCAACTACTTTTAAACTGGAATAAGTGATCACACTTACAGTAAAAAGAATATAGGTACAGCTACTTAACTTGACAGACCCTCTCTCGTTTTGAGGGCTGTATTCTAATTAGATTCATTATGGATCCCGTTTAGTGTTATTGCCATTACATGAGTAGTGCAAATATGTTGTGCTATCTAACATTCTAATAATATTTATATCTATGCCTATGAAAATAGATAACAACAGCGAGTAATTTTTATTACGATCCATACCTCTACAGGCCCTCTAGGAGGTGAAGTTGCTGGTTTAAAAGATACCATAATTTCCTCCTCGACGGCTTTTTGGCGTCGAATGGAAGCCCTGCTAGCAGAAGACCGGATTAACCTCTGTTGTTTGGTGGACAGATCCACTTCCATCACCTGCAATGACGAGAAATAAAAGAGTTAACTGCAAATGCAATCCAAATAAAAGTATATGTACCTATGCTAGAGGATGTTCTCTAACCTATGCTAGAGAATTTGGTGGCTCATATCGTCATTAAACACAAGGAAAACCATCAAAACACCTTTGCAACCAGCCCATTCGCTGGGATTTAAGCCGGCATCGAATTACCAATATTCAGTTAAAGACAGCTTAGAGAACTAATTAATTTTAATATTTTGTTCGTGTACAATAACATCTGCAATGAAATGATTAGATAGGTTAGTTTTTTGGCTTAAAATCTTTAGTTTAGATCGTCTGAAAATCAATTAAATAAACTCAAGCTCTTTTAGACTAATGTATTTTATTACCTTTTGCAGAATTACTTTGAAAAATGTGTTAAATGAGTTCTGCGTCCAAATTATTTTTCACAATAGTTGTTCCAAGTTATTTTAGTAGGACAATAATCAGCTTGTTTTCTCCAAATGTTTACGTGTTATTTACTATTCGGGTGTACGCTAGCATTCTCAGATAATATTCATTTACACCTGATTGTCTTGTTAATTCTAAAATAATTGCCTGGCTGAAGAAAGAGAAATTTCCGCAAATGAGATGGGTTATACAGCATGTTTCAGAATTCGACCGAGAAATTCAGATAGGTGATAGCAGGCATCAAGAGGATGAAAAATTGCCATAAAACATGAGGTCACAAACCACGTTTAAACCACGTGGGAGAAAATCGCTGAAATAGTTATGAAGGTTGTGACGGTAACTAACCCTTTATTATTCCAATAAGACTGAACAAAACTCCGCCTTGGAGTGTACAATCAAAGCCGACACTTGGGCTTGAACTTAAGAGACTAAAAATTAAACTAAAACTAAGATTAACTAAAGAAATATAGCCGAAGCCATCAAGATTCTAGGCCCTTAACTGTTTGACTACGGAGCTCATCAAGGGCGTGAGTACGGCCGAGCGTAATAACAGCTTTGACGCACGCAAATCAGAAAATCTGATTCTCTCTCACTCTGCAAGCAACTTCGCGGTTTAAATACCGCTCCTCCTCATTAAGTATTCAGAATAATTCCAAAACTACGTTCTGCGCTGAAGTAGTAATTAGAAGTTACGAATTTGACAGGAAAGGAACTTTAACTCAAAATTTAACTGTTAATAAAATTAACATAATCCTTACAATCTGATAATAAAACGGTGGCGGGAAACTGTGAATCATTCTGGGAGCCAATAAGTATCCTGCATACAAACTCTACACAAAGGAAGTTGTCGCCATCGCCAAGGAGTTAGACCTTGCAATTTTATGACGAATACCCAGCTCAGCTGCAACCGGCTGTTCACTCGTCGATGGGAGAAAAGCAAACCGTTGCAATACTCTCTCTGCTTCAAGTATGAGGATCCATGGATCCCGTTTCTCGCAGCCATGAAGATGGTGTGTTGGGGAAAACGCCTTCTTGGATATTGTACTTGGTACAACGTCTGTGCTAGACGTCCATTGCCACCTATTCGCCCGTAAATAAGATATATATCCGAACATTCCTCATTTGTGTAATCCGACCTGTTGTTTCTGAATGAAGAATTCTAAAATGCCAACTAATGAATACTTGCTTGCTGCTTTTATTTTCCCCATACGCATAGGAAATTTGCATACGCAAAAGTTTCTTCTCGACAACAGTGCTTCTAGTCTGGACATTTGTTTGGCCACTCTCATCGTCAGGCTTCCTGTCCTCTCGGCGTCTATTTTTGCGATTTTCACCCGCTAAATGTAGTTTGCGACCTCATAATCCTATAGTAATGTTTTGTCAGATGAATACGGAAACACCATTTATAGGATGTTCCTGTAAGAATATGAATTTAAAATGAAATAAAATCTATTTTAGGTGCACCCAATCTAATTATAATATTTTGAAGTATAATTTATGACATTTTGTTTAAATGTTTCAAGGGTTCCTGCTTTGTCTGCATAGACCATTAATTTGAAATAACCACACGAAAATTATTCTCAATGTTTTAAATGGCAAATTCTGGGAGGTTAACTAACAGCTGCATATCGTGGAATTTTCCTTCATCAGACTTGGTTTGCGATATATCGATGGCGTTAGCAATGTAACATATGGCACGGTCTTGGCAGAAGCACATGTCGTTCAAATTGTCCACAAAAATGTTTTTATCATTAATCTGTATCTCTCACCAGTCAATGTAAATGCATTTCTTCCTTTATTTTGAAAACACAATACTCTGATGATGCCAGTATGCCATAATGTATTTGCAATGACTTTTTTCCATCGCAAGGGCCTCTCCTGCGTCTCTTATGCATTTTTTCACACCAAAAGCAACATTGTTTTTACATATGCAATGAATCAGAAATGAGCGTCATCTGAGATAAAATAATTTGTTGGTTCTTGAAACATTTATTAAACTATTTAACTCTTTCAGGGGCGGTGGTTTCGCCTTGAAACCGCATTTTCAACATTTTTTTAGATTTAGAAAATTTGGTTTTTTTTTTCCCTCGAAACCGCTGTTAAAATTAAATTACTTCTTAAAGCTGATAACAGATGGCAGCAGCAAACCTTTCTGTGCATCCATTAATTGATACGAATCATTCAAAAATATCTTCTTATGCACACTACTCTTTTCGACCCATTTTAAAAACAAAAAACTCAAAAATTCTTAATTTTTCCACAATATATTTTATAAGTAGGCATCAATGAGTAATGAAATGTCCTTAATTCACAAAAAAAAAAAAAAAAGTAATGGAACCCTTTTAATTTTGAATGTTTTCATTGCGGTTTCAGAATGAAACCACCGCCCCTCTGGGACATCGAAAAGAGTATCAGATGACGCAGTCGCGAGATTTTTTGCAGTTGTGTTTATTGCTTTCGGATCACTGCTGTAAACAGTTGCACAATATCTTAATTTGAGTGGCTTCAAAGATGAGGATTTATGGAGCTAGGAAAACATTTCTTATTTTTTAGAGAGACACAGTATAAAGTTTTTATAGAGAGACACAGTAAAAGTTTTAAACATAATTTTTAAAAATATTTCATAGTTTTATGCAAGTAATTTAGTGCATTATTAGTTACTTTTTGTCTCATACTTTTTTGTTTCCTGTTTTAAATTTTTTATTTATAATTAAAAATGCGTGTTTATGCAAATATTACTTACTTCATTAGTTGTTCAGTAATTTACTAGTATACTCTGCAATTTGGGTTGCGTTCAGATACTTTTCAGCAAAGTAAAGATAAATAAGCAAATGTGTAGTCTTAAATGCTCTAGACGGCTGGTTTCAAGGCGAAACGGGTCCCCCTTTCCATAAAGGGGAACGAAAAATTTTTTTTTAAAACTCATTTATGTTGTCTATAGGACCATTGCATGTCGTTATGCTTACTTTTTCATAACTTTTAAAAAATCATAACATTGCGCCCCTGAAAGGGTTTTAACATACTAAATGCTAATAAAAATTAGTGACAGTGATAAAATTTTAGACATAGCTGGCATTTCGTTTCAAAATCATATCATTCTTAATGGAATACTCTTTATACATAAAATGGCGTTTATAAAGTTTCAGGGCTAAATTCATATAAAACCGAAAGTTGGAATAAAGTAACATCCTTTCTTCTTAAGCAATATTTTTCTGTTACAAAGTGGGTAATATTACAGTTACAAGCTTTAATTCCTTGAATATTGCATTTCCTCAACTGTAAGACGTCATGGTTTTCATGATGTTACCAACTGTTGGTTGCGTGCACATAATTTAATTTTTTGTTTTTACAAGGTGGCTACAATTGTTGCTACAAACTTGAATGTGTTGAATGCTGTATTCTTTTGATCCTAAAACAACATGATTTTATGACGTTACAAATTATTTGATGAAGGTACAAAATTAAATTTTTCCTTGCAAAAATAATTTTTACAAGGTGAGTATTATTGTTGAAAAAAGCTATATTTCCTTGCACAAAGCACCTCTTCGATTTTAATAGGTCATCGATTTGATCATGTTCAATACACAATCACTGAAAATTTATACAGCGCTTGGCATGAACCTTCAGCTGCTGTTAGAAGAAAACAAACAACTGAAAGATTGTCATTTTATATTATGATTTTACCAATTTAAATTTTAAAATGATAAAATTGTTAAGTCACATTAAAAGAAGCTTTTCAAACATTTTGTTACTTTGTAACTTCGACATATATAACTTCAAAAAATAATTTTTGTTTTGTTGTTTTTAATTAAAAATATTTTCATGATATTTCAATATGAGAAAAGTTCATTAAAAGGCTTTAAATTAAAAATAAAGTGGGGATATTTTACATATTGAATTTGCTTGATAATTATAACATACGGGTATTGCCAAATATGCTGCATCTAATAAATTGTAAATGTTGGATGTCTTTTACATCCCTACTTCTCATTACGCATATTCAGGCCAAAGAAGGAACTTTTTGCCTACATATATTCTTATTTTACTGTAATCTATTTTTATATATAAATGAATCAGAGGAGGACAACTTCCATGTGCACGAGGGACAATCTAAGATACATGTTGGTGCAACCGCCCGCATATGTTTTGTTTAGTCAATATTTAAAAATACATTCCGGAATTACAGTTTAATTCAAAATCTAACTTTTACATGTAATTCAAATTACCTTTTCGTACAATTTTGAAGTACAATAGTAATTAAAATATTTTGAATATATTTTTCTATAAATATTTTATCCTTAAATTTCAAGGTAAGGAATGCTAAAATTTAAACAGAACTTTGAATTCGGTTATTATGGTAATAAGATCAATAAATTCTCTGACATTAAGTTATAAAATTTTCTATTTTATTATCGTTTTAAGTAAGATAAAAAGTCGGTCCCTTTCTCAGGGCGCACAGCAAAGCCTCCACTTGTGCTTAAACTGAAAATGTAAGAAATAGGAACTAACTAATGACTAACTAAAGAGATTTAGCCGAATCTAACGCAGTTCTAAATTAGTTGGCCCGTAATATTAAATTAGCCAGCGAACTATCAAAAGGCACGTATTACGGCCGGATGTAGTTACAGCTTAGAGAAACGTAGCCCACCGGAAAATGCGCACTATTCAGGAATCCTAACTCTCTGGCGAAGTCAGTTGAACTTGATTTAAATACTCTTTTCTTCTCATCTGCATTTAACGCAATTTTAAAAACTCATTCTGGTAGGGAGCTGTAAGCGAAAGCTAGGAGAGACGGGAAAGAAGCATAAACTCAAAATAACTCTTATAAAATTAAATATACCTTACATGCTTTTCATGTTGATGAAAATGATAAGTTTCTAATCTTCATATCCTTTGCATTTTGGGTTAGGAAACAGATAATATATTTAACACGCTTAGTTGCTTCTGACTAATACTGCAATAATCTGCTGAAAAATGTTCTATCCTTCATTTTTCCACGTATATTTTATTTGTAAAAGAAGAGTTGTTGAATGAGAAAAATCCAATACTCAGCTCACAATTAAACTTCTCCATCTAGAAGCATGTGCACTACAAGAATGCAAATCGCAGGGCAGATGTAATGACTTGCTGCATAGAAATGATGGTCATTTGGATAAAATGACATCACACGTTCTCAAAATAGAAGTGCAAAAATCCATAAGAATGTTACTTTATTTTCACCGGTCGAAGACTTGCAACTTTCAATAGAACACAATAACCCAGTTATTTATTATAACTTAATTACCTACATATTTTATAATCGTGATGAATTTTGCTCAGATTTCGTCTGGCTATTTGGAGTTTTATTTCTGCTTATTCAGCCAATAAATGAGATACATGTTAAGCGAATAGACAACATGCGAAACTGCACTGTTATTATAGACAGTGGTGACCATTAAAACTGCTACTCTATGAAGAAAGCGTACAGCAAACCTGAAATTTGCATACAACATACAAGACGCAATGATATGCAAATGGTTAGTATTTCACTGCATGCAAGAGTAGAGAAACTTCAAAGCTGTATAAAAAAGGGTGACACTGAAATGCTGATTTTGCGTATAGAAATTCCATTTATTCGTTGTTTTTTGTGTTAGAAGGTGTATTGCGCTTTGTGTACAAAGCGAGAACTGATACCTGAAAGTATCAGATTTGATTGAGCGAGAGCTGCAGTCTATTAAAATTGGCGATCATACCGTGTAATAGTTACTCTCATTGGTTCAAGATTCAATGATTGTTAAGAGAATGTGCAATCGATGTGTACAGGAGGGCTATAGTGACGAATTGCTTCTTAGTACCCAAGACGATAAGCATCTTGTTCTCATCGTTACTCGGGATCGAATAACCATATTGCATATCTTGGTCAGAAAACTGGAGGCGTTGCACGGCATTAACACGCACGGTGCAATAGCTCCTGCAATGGCTTATACTATGACTAGTCTGTGGCATCAAGGACTAGCGACTATTGCTTCAGCTTCCCTTGAAGCCACAGTTTGTTGACAATATGAGGTGTTGCAAGTGTTGTCAGACCACACGTGCGGATATATCTTTGATGCTATGTGAATCTGTAGCTGCAATGGTGTGTGGAGCGACATGGACGCATTAATGGCGTGATGTCGCTTTTCTGACGAATCCCATTTTTGTTTATAACATAATGATGGGCATATCCACGTTTGGAGACACGGAGAGAAAGGATCATTTGAAACTTGCAATCTTCATCATTATACCGGCCCGGTAACTAGATTAACGGAATGAACTGCCATTGTGTGCATATCCTGTTCATTTGTAGTCAGCAGATCCGGTACTTCATCGAGCACTGTTACATCACTGAAGTTTTAATATTCAGGACTGAATCATATGTTCGAGATTTCTGCTGCGTCAACTCAAGCGAAGAAATCGCACGCTGTGCATACTTTAATACGTTTCCTCAGTACAAAGTGTTTGACTTCTGCCTTGGCGGGCCTTCTTCAGGTTTCACCAACTGAAAGTTAACGGTTTCAAAAAGATTAGCACATGAACATCTGCTAGTCAATATAAGGGGCACAAGAAGTGGGCGGAACACCAGAAATTCAGCATTGGTTGCACAAGTATAGACCCTGGAGAGTGGCCCGAGGGTTTTTCACACCTCTTTTACCATTGGTTACCATTGGAAAGAGTTTAGCTTTGCAAAGGATTTGAGGAACTTTATAAATGGCAATAGAAACAATACTGGAAATTTTGGTTTTATGTTTTTAATTATATTTATGTTTTAATCTGTGTTAGTTTTGCTGCGTTGACCATGAGGCCGATTATTATTGTGCAGAAGGACCCGTATATTATATTACATTGCATTACCTCTTTTACTGTTCTCTACCATCAACACTTCGAAAAGACTTTCGGTTCGCCATGTATTCTGAGTGCCCCTTGCCACACTGACACTATAGGTTACAAAAATGTATGCCTTCTTCGGTATTTTAGCCCAGGTGCTTTAATATGGCATTCAGCATCACTAACTACTCTACCCTGGTTGGTATAAAACCTGAAATCAGGAGTCATCTCTGTCGGTGATTCGTCACTAACCAGCATACCAGCTGCAGATGTACAACTACTTTGTTGAAGGTATGAATGTTCAGAATGCTGATTTCTGCGTGTTCTGCACCTGAAAATTACCGAAAGTTGTAATCATTTCATTACTTCCATTATAACATATTTGAAATTTAATTACTTAAACTGCTTTTCTTTATTATATAGCAATCTTAACAGCCAACAGTGTAAGTTGTATCAATAAGAAGTACTTATTTTGTTTTGTTCAAAGACAGGTAATGTAAGTTTTCGTTTCAAGAATATTCTATTAAATATTTATATAAGATAAATAAATAAATTATGCTTTTTTCGTTACGAGTTTCTTTTGACTTTCCTTCTTAAATCGCAACAAAGGAAAAGATAAAGGCTTTCTTTTTTCTAGGAGACTTTATCATATCTCATTTCGTTTCGTCTGATGAATGAATTTATTTCGTTAAGAAATAAGAAAGTTCTTTTTATGAAGAAGAAAAATCCTTTATCGAAAAAGATTATGGAATCAATTCTTTTAGGAATGCTTCATTATCATAAATAGGGACGGCCAAAAATTCTTGTATTACCAGAATCGGATTAATCCGAAATATTTCTGTAAGCTACAAAATTCATAGATTACTTACCTCATCATCACTTTCGTCACTCGCTAACGTATTGTGCGCTGATTGACTCTTGCTAAGCATCCTGGATGTCCCTGAAGAAACGGAGGTTTTGTGCCTTGAAGAAGGCTTCGCTCGATGAGCCCTGTGACTTGGTGGATAATGATTCACTGGCAGCAGTTGTGGCATAGTGGCTCTGGGGGAGAGAGTTAAGTACGCTGGAAGCATGAATCTTGCTTTAAATGTTAGCTCTGTCTGGGTAGCTTGTGTTTTCATAAGCGCCCGACGAGGTCTATGCTGTACAGAGCTTCCTCTATAACCTGGACATAAAAAAGGATAATTTAATTAAGACTAATGTATTAAAATGAATGAAATGGCAAAATAATGATGCTTTCCTGTACAAAGATGGGCAATTCTCACTAACAGATGCAGTTACAGTTTCATGTAATTTAATAATTTCATCAATCTGCATGAAGTTTCTTGGAGTTGTATTTTGTAAACAATGATGTGAATGCATAATTTCTGCTTTAGGCATAAAAAGGAATGACATCTTTCTTACCAGTTTAAATTTCAGTTATAGTTAATGCTCTAAAACGGGTCTGGGCTTCAAAAATTGTACTTCTTTTTCAACTGATATATTTTGATTACTTCATTCATACTGTTATTCTGAAATGCGTTAAGCCTTTTTTTATTGAAATTAACATCGAAGACTGGATTTTAGAAAAAGCTTAAATTAAGTTTGCGTCTTATTCTTCGAAAATGAAATTATCTTATATGGATTATCTATATGGAACAGCAGGTTTACGGACACCTGTCAGATTAACGGGCATTAGAAACCACGTATTTTCTTAAAAAAACGATTAATTTAATTTAAAAAAAACTTAAAATCTTAATAATAGAACTACCGATAACCGTCAGCTTGACGAATTTGTAGTTGCTTTTATCGGTGTATTAGAGTTTTCACCAGACCAATTTTCGCTCATACTAATTATCCTCTCGAGAAACTCAGTGTCTCTTGAATTACTCGTGATGACTAATGTGTTTCGTCAGAATAAAGCAAAGCTAGTTCTTTCATCTAATTCTAATATAATGACATTGCTAATATGTTAATAATAATCTAATATTTTCGTCTCGATCGTCTCTACTCGCTCTAACTAAAACTGTTTCTAAAACGTCTTGACACGTTGACTGGAACTCGACGACTGCAGATAATTTCTTAGGCCTGGGCCTACCGCTTTATATTTTCACTTTAGGCACGTACGATTGTCAGAAGCCGCCCAACCGGTATAGTGGTTAGCGTGCCGAAAGGCCCGGGTTCGGATCCCGGAGAAGGCATTTGTAAATGAATAGTGTTCTGCGACATGGGGGCACTTTAAATATTCGGCGAGCAGAAAATCCTCTCGAGAGGTTGGTGGTAGAGGAAGTGGCGTGAAAGACCCTCGGACCCGTTCCTCCGGGGTGCTTTCAATTTAATTGGGGGCGGAACTCAGCAAATTTGGATTGTCAAGTTGGATTGGTGCTCAAGGCTGTTGCCAACGGCAGGCTTAATCTTGCGCTCCTTGCCACGAGGAATTTTGGGGGCTTGGGCTGACTTATAGGTCAGAAAAGTGAGCATTAGTAACAACAACAACGACTGACAGGTGATCACTCGTGACATATTCCTTGCTCTGGCGAATCCCGGTGAGTTGATATTGGGTTCGAAGTTATCGACAGATACTTCTTTTGAATTATGATTTTTATTTAGTATCTATGTTATAATTACTATTAATTATATTTTTCATCAGAAAAATAATTTCATAAAATATCAAGATTATTACGATTAATTATGAAACTAGCTTATCCTCAAAATAACGGATGTTCGTAGAGATAGAAGATATACATCATACGATACATATCTGAAAGTAAAGGGCTGAAGGGGAAACAAATTCGGGTATGCATTCGTCTTATTACATCGATAATTGTCAGCATAAATTAGAAAGCTATAAAAATAATGGTTTTGTAATTCTGCTCATGAAGTTCAAAGTCTGTCAAAATCAGGGGATGCATAAATCTAATGATAATAATGTAAGTCAACTGATATCATATCAAAAGTGTCATAGTTTCTAGCTTTTTGTCTATATAATAAGCTGTTGAAATATGTTTTTAGGATAATACATCATTTTGAATTTTGCAAGAAAGTTAGAACCTGAACACTAAGAGAAAAATTTTCTCAAGGGAAATCGGTAGTTTTTTTATTAAAGAGAATAAATAATCGAGGAAAAAGATCATCTTGCACTAAAACATTTCGTAATTTAAAAATAGCTGTTAATAATCATACAAAATGTTTATATTAGAAAGCATCAGGCTGTTCATGATATATTAAAAATATAATTAGAATTTAGCATTGAGTTATGAGTTCTCGCCTATACTTTATTAACAGGAATACTAAATATTCAATAAATTACGCACCCTTTTACAAAAGGAAAGGAAAACATTCGCAGACTTCTGAAAGCCGCAAAAGTTGAATTAATAAATTATCCTTTTTTTTATTCTTTTTTTGCTCATAGCAGCTTTCGGAAATGATAAAATTAAAATGCATAAAATAAATCGAGGAAAAGTATTAAATATATATATTAAGTTATTTTGAAATTCAGTTTTATGAATTTCGTAAGAATTTTAAGCACCTTTTTTTAAAAAAAATAAACTGAACAAATGTTTACTATTTTATTCTGAAACGCTTTTTTTTTCATTAAATCAGACACAATTTTATTATGCACATTTTAATCTTTATATTGGTTTCAGGAACTTCTTTAAGAGTATTTTAACCTTAATTTTTACTTGAATTTCGTTAATTAAATGTATTACGGTTTTAGTTCTTAAAAGATGAAAACATGATTATCATTTATTTTAAAAGAATTGACGGGAAGGCTGTCTGTTCTAAACGGCCGTTAGGGTTTAGTGCGTAAACTTACTGTTCTTTTCGTGATTCAGGAATTTTAATTTTCGAAAAAAAATTCTGTTACGAGAAATGGAAAATATAATTAACTGTGTAACAATGAATGTAAGAGCTATAAAAAGCTGCCTAGTGTACTTTCTTTTCATAGTAGCGTTTTATCTGAACAGCTGTTCGCTTTCTTCTCTGTTTGAGGATATTTTTTCGTTGACTCATTTTAAAATTTTAATAATTTCAATGGAACGAAATTCACAAACAGTACAGCATTCACGAACGTATTCACCAAGCAACTGAATCGGGGCACGTAATGGCAAACTGCACATTCAGTTGATCAATGTTAAACAAATTTCGCATACTGCGCATGCCCAGAAGAGAATTTGGCGTAATTACGACTTTGCTACAATATTAAAAAAAGATAAATATGGTGTGTGGTTGATAATCTGTTATCTGAGCGTAAACAGTTCGGGATTTTAAAACTTGTTAGGTTGTAAGTTCTTTTATTACTTAGAGGGTAACTATCGATTGTAAACTACTCAAATTTTCGTTTAAGAATGATTACAAAACAGGAAACATTACAGAATATATTAGCTGAATCTTTATTTAATATACTTGTGAGGAATAAAAGCAATTGCGTATGGTAAATAACTATATGTTCCATTCGTATATACTTTTAACAAATTAAAGAATAAATGCAGTTTAAACTACTGAATTAAAATAAAGGAAATTATTATAAAGAACTGATATTAAGTACGACGTTTATGAACAAAATAAACCAAAATGAAATGAAACACAGGAAAATGCATTAAGCACGAATAAATTTCGGTAGTATTGTAATTGTAAATAGTCGATAAAACCTACATGATGAACAGGCTTGTGTAATGGTTGCTTATGCTTAGTCGCCAGTATTTCCTGCCACGCCAACGGTATACCATTGAGCATGCGCAGTAAACGAAATTCGTTAACATTGATCAACTCAATGTGCGGTTTGCCAATACGCAGTCGGGACGGTCCACCAGACGAGAATGCGTATGAGTGGGGATGCACGGCCACTCACTGTGCAAGTGCAATGCGTGCAGCGTAGACCTTATAAGAAGTACATACCTTATAAGAGAAGTTTCTTATAAGGCCCATGTACAGCGTATGACGTCATATAAATTCCCGAGAGTTTCCCTAATTTTGCCACTCAAATGTGGCTAAACCGTTATTCCAAATTCCAAAATTATTTTTGTATTTTGTAGTGTACTCATAATTTTGTCAAAAAAAATTATAAACCACTCTCCATGTTCCGCAGTTGTAGAGATCTAAGCGTTTCCATAACCCCAAAAGCATCATAAATGTTCCTTTCAAATACCACCATGTGGGATAAGTCAGCGTTAAATATTGATAATCTTCAACAGCTAACAATATATTGGAAGAAGAAAGTGTTTTCTTTGTTGGAAGTAGGTCGAAATTTTCACCAGAGCAAAATTAGTGGAAAAATTTAACTGTGGTTAAAATACGATATTTGAGTTGCTGTCTATTTATGTTACAATGTTAGGATCGGAATGGAGTTTACTTTAAACGAACAACGTTATATAAACGCCTTGATTTCAGCTTTTTGTTGCTTTACGTTTAAAATGAAACTTTTATTATATTTTACTTTTGTTTAAGTAAAGATAAATCTCAGAAGTTATGTTTACCTTTAACAAGTGTAATTACTGGAAATGTCCCTTGACGCAAAAATCAATAACAAGTTGTTAATGACGACATAATTAATTTTAATTTTTAATATCATTTAACAATTTCTGTTTAGAATTTCATTTTCCTGACCTGCTATCATTTCAAATGACCGTACACTAGCAATTTATTGCATTCGTCTTGAATGGTCAAAATCTTTCGGTCACACAGTCGTCGAGACCGTTGCTCATACTGCAAGGGGCAGCGAACTGAGGACATGCTCATATTTTTTTATGCTGGTTTCTAAATCTCCACCAGTGTGTAACTAAATTCAAGAAACACAAAATAAAATCACATTCACGCTGCAATTCAAGTAAAAAGGTATTCTCTTGGTACTGCCTATGAACTTTATTTATTATAACTTTATTTTAATTCTGGAATACTAAAACGTCAAGAAGCGTTAATATTGTTATTAAAGCATCTTAAATTTTTACAATACAAGATATGTTTCATATCATATACGTAGAAAAATACATTAAATTATTCATATATATTATTCATTACATAATTAAAGATCTTTAGCTCCTCAGAATAAATTTATTATTAATGAAAAACACTGTTAAGTATTTTTATGATGTTTAGACATTTAATAAAATTCAGAAGTTTCCCAAAATTTGTTTTATTAGAGAGCCAAAATGAAAGGAAATTACGCAGTACCTTGCGTAAGTTTAATGCAAGCTTAGGTGATTTAAAAAGAAGATAAAAAATTAGTTGAAGCAATATTTAGTGTTGCTTCTTCGGAAGTATTTAATTTGGACGAAGTATATTGAAGTCATTGCATTAGTGGAAAGTTTTATAAGTTTTATAGCCTTTTTTTAACTAAAAGACATCAACAGGGACTCCGTTATTCTCAAAAAAAAAAAAAAAAAAAAAAAAAAAAAAAAAAAGAGAGAGAGAGAGAGAGAAAGCCGTCTTGAGCATTTCCTTCATGCCATGATTCATTCTTTCATTCGATGGAAAAAACATTCTTTCATTTTGAAATTGCACCTAATAGTGGTATAAGTTTGCTGGATGTCAATGTTTTACTGATGAATTTGCAATTTGTCTCTCAGTAATGAAACATTCGGAAAAACAAATTATTGCTAAATGTTTTTCACAGGAGGAAGCATTTTAATGATTTCTTCCTAGTTCACGTCGGATTGTAAAAGTCGGAATAGTTTTTACTGAATTTACGTATCATAATGTAAGTGAACAAGTACATTTACAAGTTTAAAATTATTGTTAAAAATTGCACTTATTATAAATAATTAGATTTCGGCGCATTAAGTATATCTGAGTAGATGTATTAGGGAGGGTTCTTATTTCACTGCTACGTTCTGTTTTTTTTATAAACAGGAAAAATATCGAGCTGTTTAATGTTTTCTAAAATATACATTTTGTATGTTCATTGAGAGTTCCTCTTAAATTGCAAAAGTTTCGTGCAATATAGCTCTTTTTCTTGATTATTTATTATTCATTAACAAAATCCTGACATTGTCATTGAGATAATGTTTCACCCCATCATTCAGTTTCCAATTGTCTTTGCGAAATTCAAGCTTCAAGGGCTACCAATTTTTAACATTTTGTCAAGCAATAATCTGAAACTTGCTGATAGTTTTCTAACATTGAATTTGAAAGAAAGAATGGCGAGCTTTAGGGAATAATGAAAATGTAATCATAATATGCACGATTTAATTCTGTAGTAGTTATCTTTTGTACTGAGCGACAGTGTGGATAAATATCCACATTGATAAGTAATAGTAAGGTAAAATATTTACTAACTGCTATTAATGTGTAGTTACATAATAATAATAGGGAGCAGAAGGATTTTGTTGCATGTAATTTGGCAAGCATTATTTGCAAACAAATGCATTCATATTTAACAAAACTATGATTCCCTATCTTGGAAAAGAAGCAAGCTGACTGAAAATGTTCAGGAAAAAAACGAAGATTTATTTACTTAAATAATTAGCCGGAAAAAAATTCGAATCCCGATGATTAGATGGGCATTGAACAGTTGCATAACAAGGCAGCTGCCAAAAAATACTGCAAAATAACTCCTGTATCATACCTACATGTTGCATGTTACCTCCTGTGTCTTTACATTAATTCGCGGTTGTATACTTGGAGTAAGTTGCGTGATTCCGAAATGGGAAGGAGAACGATGTATGAAATCGTCACGATTGAATTTTGAATTCATTGTTTCCCTTAAGAATAATACAGCTAAGCCGCAATTTTCGTAATACTAAATTATGGTAATTTAATTTTTTTTTTAACTTTCGTTAATTTTCATAATGTTCAAGTAAGTATTTTTAACATACTGTTACGAAATGTACAAGAGCGGTAACATGGCTTCCCCGCAAAGCAGCTTTAGGGTTGCCATAAAATGGCAAGGGAAGGCAGGGCTGCCACATTTGGCGAGAAACCGCCCATTTGGGGACAAAATTGGCGGTATGCCATGGACGGATGGAGAACCTTTTGGAACGAATTCTTACCGGTTTAGCCCAGAATGTTCTCGAACACAAGCCGAAAGCTATATAAATCCTGCTGGTCCGCAGTCAGTTAGTGAGTGTCTCGCCTAGCGAGCTGATAGAGAGTGTGCCTCTCATAGAATGAGAGATAGGTTAGTATCGAGTGTGTGTGCCTCGTCTAGCGAGCTGATAATCTCATTGAGCGAGTGTCTCGAAGTCTAGCGCCGAGTTGGTGTCGAGTGCATCGGAGAGTCTTTTAGTGCATCATCGATTTGTCTTTACTGTGCTGAATCGAAAGCTATACTCTTGTGTATCGTCGAGTGCATCGCGTGGAGAGTCTCGAGAGTACGTGGAGTTCCGAGAACGAGCAAGCAGAGTTGGGAGCTGTACTCGGGTGCTTTGCACTGAAGCTGTCTCCACCGTTATTGCCTGACAGTTGTGAAGGCTGTGTCGCTGAACGTGTCAGCGTGTTTATAGTAGTTCATCGACGGCTGTAAAACGTGTTTTGGAGCTGTCCTGACAATACTGGCCAATAAAGTGTGTTTCGATACTTCATCAAGTGTCGTCGTTATTCACTCCAAAGTTACAAACCACGTACGAACGTGAAGGAAGAAAATAACGTAACAATTGGTGTCAGAAGAGAAAAACACAACAATACACATTATGGAAGTTTTGGGTGATGATGAGAAACACAAACATATTTTCATTATTAGCATTGTCTGTATTAATTTTGGAACTAGAATTTGTATGACTGGAGTAGAACCCAAACGACTGAATGGCATTAGTTTAGTGTACCTTTAGAAACAAGAGCGTAAAATGAAATTTAATACTTACTATAGGAGGCTACCGATGAAGGCCTGTCACTGAATTCCAGAGGTGGTCGAGCTGTTACAAATCCGTCCAGTAACCTTTCTTGGGATCGATTCCTCCTGGGGGGTGGCGAAAATGCCCTCCTCTGGGAGCTGAGAGGAGTAGAGGTGGCAGCAGGACCACTTCTAAAATCCCCTCCTACCTCCTCGAGACCCCCAGCCACGGTATTGCTTCGAACCAGTGATCCATTGTCGAAACTCACGTGCTTTTGCCGCCGATCATCCAGGATGATATCAGGTGTTTTAGCTATGCGACCGACGTCTACAACTTCTCGCCGCCGTGTGGCACTCGAATCGTTTAACTCATCCACGCTCCTACTGGGTTGAAATCGCTGAAATTAAAAGGCCCCTTGTATAAATAAACATGTTTTTTAGAAATCTGAATACTGGGAATAGAAATAAATCATGATAAAAATCTGCTAAATTAGGCAGAAATAATAGATAGTCTTGAATACTACTATTTTTCAAAAACTATGTATTTCATAGTTTGACTTCATGCCTCTTAAAAATCACTTATCACTTAGACTAACTAAGTCTTTGACTAATTTTTACTATCACAGGAAACTCAAAATAACTCAGTTCTGCCGATAACACAAAAAACTGTAAAATACAGTTGCCTTCAATCGGAGTAAAGATGTTATTATTTATTATTATTCCGCCTGCTTCACCTCTCAATGGGCACTACAGGCCAGTCATGTTATTCTGATCGTTTTACTAGCAGTTTTTTTTTTTTTGGTTGTATATCTTTTCAACCTTATTATTGAAAAACAGATGTAACATTAGTTATTACTTTTGTTTGGGTGTCCAGCTTACAATTTTTTGGGAATGTTAGTACAAAATTAGCAAAAAGGGTTAGTTAGTTTAGAGATATTTACATATATACGTGAGTAGAGGCTTGCTGCCTTTACATTTCGTCAGGTGCCTAGACCTGGTTATCTGCTATGATTATGTTACTCTTAAAATAGACATACTCTATGATAGTTCTGACGCCTAGCTGTAAGTAGTAATCCTGAAGAAAGTCTTTGAAGCTATGTGATCCCTGGAGCTGAGGAAGGAAGGCTCTGATGGGAGAAGTGAGTGGACAGTCATGGATGTAATGTGAAACGTCTGCTGAAGAAGCTGAAGCACCGCAGGCGCATCTTACGTTTGGATGGCAGAACCTGCTGAGGTACGCGGGAAATCTTCCATGATTTGTGAAAGCTAGTTGTAGATAGAAATCTGTTTTGAGCCTTTTTGGTGGAAACCACGGGAAAGATGGGGTAGGTGTGTCGACCGATTGCTGAGTCGCCCCAGCAAGCTTGCCAGATGGACATAAAGGCGCAGAAGATCTTTTGTTTGGCAGTGACTATGGAAAGCGGTATCTCTGAGTCGATTGAAAGGGTGACGTGACTTTTTTAGCTAAGGAGTCGGCCCTTTCGTTACCTTGGGTACTTTGATGACTACGTACCCAGCATAGAGACACTTGCCTGGAAGAAGACAGGGTAATAAGCACTTCTTTTAATGAAGAGATGTGGAAGGCTTGTGTGCCGTTCTTGTTCAGTGCCTGTAGGACACTCATGCAGTCCGTGTAGAAGCTGATGGATGGAAAATTGATGTTGCGTGCCCAGAGAACTGCGTTCTTTAAAGCGAAGGACTCAGCCTGGAAAACCGAAGCGTGGTCGCTAAGTCTGAATTGTCCTGAGTGAATTTTGTATTATTGTGGAAAGCGACATAGGCTGCACCTACTTGCTCTGAAACTTTAGAGCCATCAGAAAAGATTTTTTAAGTCCTGTCCTTTTGGTAGATGTTTAGGCCATTTTATAGCTTTTCATGAGAGATGGGTGGACGGGAGTATAGCGGCAATGCGTTTCTAAGGAGCGCTGGTCTATGAATGAGGAGTCATCGAGCTGAAAGGAGTCTTTAAAATGAACTAATCTATAAGTACCACACTCAATTTCTGCTTTGAGATCTATGGGGGAAACCTCTGTTAGGATTTGAAGAGCTGCTGTGGATGTGATAGTGATCTTGAGAAGGGTGATGCGTTGAATTTGGAGTAGCTTCTGACGAACCCTTGCCGTGCCAGTCATCCAGATGGGGGAAGCCGTAAAGGATCGTCATTTCTATGCCCTGCAGATATAGTTCTTTCAAAAGTTTGCCTTTTAGATTCCATTTATCTGCGACAATGCGGTTTAAGCTATTAAAGAGATTCCAGGTTTTATCTCGTATCATCGTTAAGTGCGGTACCCAGGTGAGTTTTCTATCAAGTAAGAATCCTAGTTATTTTAAAGTGATTTTTTAGTGCTCGGCCCTGCCATTTAATACGGGGTGGGCTATTGAGAAGTATATTACCCTCTGGAAAGGTGATAATTTTTGTCTTACCGATGCTGAATTTAAGCTTGAGTTTGATGCTCCAGGTCACTGATAAGATCTAATACCTTTTTTGCTTTGTTTTCTATTTCAGTGCGATTGCCTCCTTTAATGATTAGGATAAAATCGTCGGCTTAGGCCTGGATTTGTGCATTTCCTTCGAAATTTAGATCTAATGCAGCATTTGCAATAAGATTCCACAATATTGGGCCAATACGGGACCCTCCTTGGGGGCGCCTCTGTAGTAGTCGTGAGTGACACTGACCCCGTCGCGCTGGTAACTTTACAATTATGAAGATAACTGCCTATGATCCGACAGAGATTCTTAGGACATTGAAGATGTTTGAGGTGATCCCTGAGGCCTGGCCACCAGAGTTGGTTGAAAGCCGAGGCCACGTCTAAGGAGATAACACACGTGTGGAGACCTCGCTGCTTGTTATGGTGTATTTGCTCTTGTAGATTGTGAAGAGCGTCGATGGTCCTCGTTCCCTTCGTGAAACCGTATTGCGCTTTGTTCATGAGGTGGTTTTTCTCCATGTGGAAAGTGAGACGTCTGGTTATTAATAGTTTGTCTAGGACCTTTCTTCAGGCGGAGAGAAGACAGATAGGTCTATATGCGTTCGGATGCTTACTGTCTTTGCCCTCTTTTTTGAAAAGAACAAGCTCAGCATTCTTCCACGCATCTGGAAAGAAGCCTTTTTGAAGGCATATGTTAAAGAGATATGTTAGTTGGTTTTCGTTTGCGATTCTCAACTCTTCGACGAAGTCTATATTGAGTTTGTCCAAGCCTGGAGCTTTGCTCCTTTTGGTAGTTTCTATGATCTTTCGAATTTCTGTGGTAGTGAAGGGAAGATCAGTTGCGGTGTTTGGAGGGCTGCTTGCTGATCTCTTTATCTTCCTGTGATGTGGGGTGTCTTCGTCTTGAGTATCGTTGGGAAAGTGATATTTGACAATTTCTCTAATAGTGTCTTCAACTGAAGTTGTGGTTGTCCCATCTGGTTTGAGTATTGAGCTTAGTTGTAGGGGTCCTAGGCTTTTGCCCTTAATGATATCATTGTAGGACCTGAACGGGGAAGAGATCTGAAGATTTTCCCAGAATGTGTCCCAAGAGGCTCTTTTGGTCTCTAAGCTCTTTCGTCTATAAATAGCTTGTTCCTTGTGAGAATAGTAACTTCTCATACCACGCAGTTTGTCATCGCAAAATTAATCTTAATCACGGAACTGCACGTGTGTATATAAGCACCGGACAGACTGGTTTCTTCCCCTTCTTTGCCCGTGTTCTTTCTGCTGTCACTTGGCAATCAGCGACGCCGCACGTTGTGCGGATTTGTATCCCTGCATATCTCGCTAATGGAGTTTCATCGTTCCTGCATATTCGCACATGGAGTGTCGTCGTGCTTTTGAATAAAAAGAAGCAGAACTAAAAAATTGCAATATATTTAGATGAAAATGCTCAGCTTAAAAATCCATCTGCCACGGTAATGTTCTAAAACATCTCAAGCAGATTATCAATAGGTGTTTGACTCCAGAATGTGCATTACCAGCGATGTGTCACCACGTGATGCTGTTAAGTGTGTTAATGAAAAGTGAAGGTAAAAAAAGATCTTGCACGTGTACAACAAGCATGTGGACATTGCACGAAATTAATATGAAAACATTTCGACTGCATATATGTGTGATGCGAGTGGATTACGACTTATTAGCTAACGGACACTTTTTCGGTATTCGTCTACTGTTACATTTTTAGGTTCTCACGTTTTGTGTTCTAAGTTATGATATTTTGATATTTAATGTGCTGTGTGATAACTACTATATATTTAATCCAGAAAATGTGTTTTTGATAAAATAAATGTGAGATTAGAAAAAGAAATTTGTCTCCGCAAGTCTCATGCATGTGGATTATTGGGTAAGTGAAATATTTAATTATTCTTGATGCTAGGGTTAAATTCGCAATGTACTACCACTAAAAATTCAGGCCAGTTAATATTGGGCACATGTAAATTAATTAAGGATTTCTAGATATACATTTGGGTAGATTGTCACATTGCAACACCTCCTAATAGTCCACCCCACTACATTCCTTTTTGTAGATGACTCTGTTTTTGGTGCGCATGTCTCCTGAGGTGCGATGGTACCGCCGTCGTAGGGCTCGTACCTTTTTTTCTTGTAATCGTGAGCTCCTGATTCCACCATGGGTAGCTTCTATAGTGTTTGTTGTTCTTATTCGAATTACCGATATTTTAGTGTCCTCATTTTCATGGATGAGTTTAGTGGTGATCTCTTATGTGTTTATCTATTTCCGTGATGGTATGTGGTAGTGAAACTGCAGATTATTGTTCTGCGAGGTTTTGCCTGAATGTCATCCAGTCTATATGACTTAGTTTCATCTTTTTGGTGGTTTTTCTCTGTAAATCTACATTATCGCTGTCATATTTGACGTAGTTATGGTCACTAGGGTTTTCTTCCTCCTGGATTTTCCAATTTGAAATCTCGATTGGATTTTCTTTCCGAAATAAAGTGAGATCAATCTACGAGGTACCCCTGGAACCAGAGAAGGTAGGAAGGCTATCAGGGTTGTTAATGACGGCTAAACTCGTGGCTGCTAGTAGTTCACAGATCCTGAGACCTCTTGAGTCTGGCTGGGTGGGACTCCAAAATGGATATTTTCCGTTGAAGTCCCCGCTGATTATAACTGAGACAGAATCATTTGTTATGATTAAGTTCTCTAGCGAGGCTCAATTTCCTGCGATGGAGGGCAGTAAACAGAAACAATCAGGAAAGAGTGGTTTCCTTCGATTCGCACTGCTGTGATGTTATCTGTGCTAATGACCTCTAAGGCAGGAAGTGCCTGGTCCGTAAGTATGATTGCTGTTTTGGCATTTTGTGTTGCGTAGAATTTTCTGAATCTTGATGGGAATCCTTGTAGATGATTGTTTCTTACGTAGGGTTCCTGCGTGCATACTATGTTTATATCTTTATTTTGTTC